TCTGCCATAATGGTGATGTCGTCCGCGAAAAGGGAGCAAATGGGGATTGCTTCCTCGGGGATATTGGATATCTTGATTCGGGTGAGGTCCTTGTGCTGTCTCTTATACACATCTAGATGTGTATAAGAGACAGCTCTCTCTCTCTCTATGTGTGTGTGTGTGTGTGTGTGTGTGTGTTTGTGTGTGTGTGTGCGTGTGTGTGTGTGTGTGTGTGTGTGTGTGTGTGTGTGTGTGAATGTCTTCCACTGACTTCGATGTCATGGTACCGGCGCCATGGACTACTCTCTACGACTGCCTCTCGACCTCTCTGGACGCTTGGTAGCACAAGCTTGCAACAATGCTTCTGCGAGAGACTGTTAACAGGGGCCCAAATATTCGCCGTTTTCGTTGGCAATTGCGGTGTGAATCAAAAAATTTAAAAACAAACGATATGAGACCATAGTGCAAACATCCAAAAAGGAAACAGGCCAAAAAAAACGAAAAAAAAAACAAAAAAAACACTATGAAACCCTAACACAAAGACACTGTCCGAGTCAAAATGAAGCGTCCAACGAATTCAAAAAAATGCCAACTTTTTCATTATTGATCCAAACATGTCAAAACTGCACACATGACGTACCCTAAAGCACATATATATCACACAAAAAGAAAAACAAGAAAAAAGCAAAAAATCAGCACAGTATGACAGTTTCAGTGCAATTCCGTGCAAAATTCGTCGAAAATAACACCCCTGGTTAACCACGTTCTGTAGCAAGCTTGAATGGAAAATTGTGTTGATGCCTTGCTGCCACTGGACTTTGTACTTCGCTGCAGCTCCCGATCTTGGACGATGGCTGGAAAAAGTGTTGCTGGTTTAAGATATGCAGTGCTAGATATGCAGACCACACCGTGAACAAAGAAGCAGATAGACCGTCGATTCCCGGCGAGCGGCCGTACTTTTTGTCGTTTCCTGCTGAGCTAAGACGTCAAAAGTTTGTGTCTGCCACTTTGTACGCAGATATATTTGAATTTTACAGCACAAAAAGTGCCAAAAACCCATAACGAAGTTTCGTCTCCGCTCGAAACTTACAGGCACAGACTAGTATTCAGTATATCTCACGTCTTCCTGTACAGTAGATACACGTGGTAGAGGCTCCGCCGCAGCTCTTGCCCAAGGGTAGCTTCCTGATAGATGTCTAATATTGTCTATATTTTCTGCAGCATGAAATCTTCTTCAAGTGTTCCCAGCTGAGGGGCCAACACACCTGCGCGCACATGGGACGACAACTGAGAAACCTCTTGCTCAGTAGACTGTCGGCTTAGTTGTAAAAAGGTCCTTTTACCACAGTCAAACGTATGGCGGTGTGGAATCCATAGTTGATGCAGGCAATCTCTATCAGTCTGAAAAGGATTACACAAATCCATCAACACTGATTCAACAGGGTATCAGCTTTTCGGCTTCCATCCTCGAGAAAAATGCACGGCAGGCATGCGGTCTCCACATCACATCCATTTCATACGAACCATGTTTTAAGCTACCCGCAATCTAGTCTGTAACTGATCAACAGTGGCGGCCACACTCTCTATTAGTAGCACTGCCTCTTCCAATCAGACACCTTTTCGAAGCATGACAGCTAGACTATGGTGGCAATCTCTACCAGTCTGAAAAGGATTACCCATTTCCATCAACAGGGCATCAGCTTTTGCCTTCCAACCTCGGGCAAAATGCAAGCCAGTTAATCTACTTGGCCTTGCCGGTAAATGAATGGTTGAACTCATGCACAAGTACGGGGGAGCATTATGTGGTCTCCAAGGAAGGAGAAACGGAGTTAGTAAGGCATTGTTTATTTGCATGAGAGGAGGCAAACCAAGTCTGGCAAGTGGTTCATAATTTATGCCATTGGAAGCAGGTGTTTATGGCTCCCTTCCCGGAGGACCCAGTACCAGTATTAATGGGAACACAGACCGCGAGGACGTGGACGTGGTCATGCTTTGTACGTAACTGCTTTCAGATGCTCCGGCAGTACGGGCTCCGGTAATATGGAAGTACCAGTGCCAGATAACCATCGATGAAACGGTTTTCACCTTTGCAGAAGCAGACGCAGATCCCAGGGCTCGATCCCTAGACCTTGTCCTCACCCGTGTACAGTACCAAGTCGACTCCTGTGTGTTTGAACCCGTGACCTGTGTCTTGGTAGTCGTTTGTTGTCTGTCGCAGGTTAGTACGGTCGTCGGGCCTTGAACTGTAGGTCTGTCGAGTAGGGGTTGTAGCTGTGTCAAAGTCGTAGCTGCTACAGTCCTGAAAGGTCAAGGTCGTAGCTGCTACAGTTCCGAAAGGCCGAGTCTACAGACTTCCGAAAGGTCAGGACGTGGGCTTTCAAGAATTGCTAAGGTTAGGCTAGAGGCAAGTGGGCAAGTGGGCAGTCCAACCTCGCCTAGTCAGCGGTACCCAGTCCCAGTTGCACTTTGTCCAGTCAGCAAGTACCATGTGGGACTGTGTGCACCCTGGACCATCCAAAGTATATCATTCATTCTGCCTGTGAGCCATGCGGAAGCGCTGTCGGAGTGTCTTGTGTACGGAGGTCTGCAGGTGCCCGAGGGAGAAGAGGGCTAAGAGGAGGAAGTCGGCCATAGCTGAAGCTGTTAGTAGTAGGGAGGAAGACGGCGGCCATAGCCGCCACGTCAGCTAGTAGGGAGTTAGTAGTTGAGTGAGTGTGTGAGTGTGTCGGGATATCCAGGGAGATCCAGAGTTGTGTGTGTACGAACGAGTTGCGGCCATAGCCGCTTGAGACAAGTTTGAATCTGAGCTGCGATTTTGTCTTCGTTATCTATGAGCTTTGTGTGGGCGCTTGGTGCCAGTTTGATCGTCATCTGTTCGTATGCATGCTGAAGTCGAAGTCGCAAGGCTGATTGCAATCGAGCAGAAAGCAGTGCATACCAGAGCAATAGAGGAGGAACTCAAAAGCCTACTGTAGGCAGACATCATGGCGCAATGGAAAAGAACCAGGAGGAAGATAGAACAAAACCCAGAGAAGGCAAGAGAAATACGGGAAGGATTCGTCCACGGGGAAGATAGCTACGTAGAACAGGACAGAATCAACTTCAGATGGTGGTCAGAATCAGCGCAACAAAGTACTATGGTAGTGATAACAGAGATTAGTACAGCATTACGGCCAAAGCTGGAGGGTGGAAACACCATAAGGGAAGGGAAAGTACAGTGGATCGACGATAGACGAGATACAAGCTCAGAGGCAGTAGGGGAAGTAAACAATAGGAGAACTAGACAAAAGACAGGTTAGGGGATGTAAGCCGAAAATGTTAGAAGGAAAGGATAGGACATTGTTTGATATTTATTATTTACTTTTCGAATGTAGGAAGTAGCATTTAGCTTGAACAGACAGACTAGCAACAAGTGGAGATCTGGCAATTAATCCTTCTGAAAGGAGCCAATCAATGTTCTCTAGATCTGGGTAGGATTAGAGAGAATGAGGATAGAACCGTAGATGCAAAAACAGGGGAGGAGCAGGGGTACATCCTTCCAAAAGGAAGAAATCAATGCCGTTGTCTAGGGATCTACTGGCCACAAAGAGGAGAGGTGTGGAGTGGTGTCGACTATTGTATGGGACGCTGACCCGGTTTCCAGCAACAATGAAAATGCTCCATTTTATGCTACAAAAAAAAAAAAAAGCAAGGCAGTCTTGCGGGCTCCATTTTCCTGTAATATGGTCCCGTTTTCCGGAAGTCCTGACGTTTTTGGGCCTGATTATACCGGACAGGCATGTTTTCAGACCTGTTCCGGTAACTGGGGTACCGTGTTTTCGGTAGTCCCGACATTTTTGGTCCTGTAGGTATCGGATTGTTTGTTGTTTTTTGGCCTTGTTAGCCTCGGTCGCATTGCGTTTTGTATTAGTGGGTTTTTTTTGCATGTATTGACTCGGTGTGTCGGTTAGATACCTGTCCACTTCTAGTATAGTCCTGCGACTGTCATAGAAGTTGACGGGTATGATCTTTTTTCAAGTGATTCGCACCTTAGTTGCCTAAGGAGTGGGTACTATATAGTGGAGTTTTACGATTGTTCTGGTCTTCGCGTCCTTGGACGCTGCCGCGGTTTTGGGGCCGTGACTTGATTGTCGCTCCTTCTCGCGTGCTTCCGTTGGCATCGCTGAGCTTTATGTACGCCGCTACGTTGACCGCTTCGGTTTAAAGGAAGTGTCTACGATTGGCATCCATCGTTTTATTGATGTGACGATTTACACCTTGTTACTTCTTCATTGAAGTGTGCTGTTTGCGTTTTGCGCTGTTTGCGTCTACGCTTCTGTTTGCATACCTGCACTTATGGTCGTAACCTGCTAGGAGATTGTACCTGGAAAAGGTGGCGATTATTAAGACAATCGGAGTTTTGATTTCTTTCCGTGTTGAAGCGATTACTGACCAATTGCGTGGTGGTCGGGCTCCAAGATGAGCGAAGGGAGCGAAGGGCAACAGGAAGGATCGTCGAGATCGATGGAGGGTAGGAAGTGTTATAAGTGTGGGGAAACCGGACATTTCATTCGTGAGTGCGCAAAATATTGGATGGCGAAGGCAAGAGGTGTTCCGTTCGTGTCGGCCTCCTTCGGCGCTCCAGGAGGCAGAACAGGGAGATCTGTTGCACCTGTGGCACCGATGGACGAAGTGGCCAGCCGTAGTAGATCAGCGGACAGCAATACCAGCAGGCATGAAACTGAGGATACTAATGCTTTGATACGAGACTGCTTTGCAGAGATGGCAAGGGAAAAGAAAGCGAGAAGGGAGAGAGAGGAATTGGAGGAGAAGAATAGGAAGGAAGAAGAAGCGAGGGCGGCAAAAGAGCGAAGGAGATTACAACGGGAAGAAGAGAGACAGCAACGGGAAGCAGTTCGGGATGCACGGCTACTTCGAATCATTAAAGCAGAGTTGAGGAAGGAACCTAGTGGGAGTAGTTGTGGACAAGCTTCTCATGGAAAACAGACTGCCAAGCTGAACGAATATGGAGAAACAGTAGAAGAAGAGAAGGAACGACTGCGACGGTTTATCGCGAAGCACGAAGAAGAAGAAGCGGAGGCAGAAGATGAAGAACTTAGATTACTACGGCTTTGGGCCTCTAAACTGGAGATCAAATAAAAAAGAAAGTGGGGGCCGGAGGTGCCGATTGGCAACAACCCTCCAATGACGACTCCAGAGAAGAGGACCAGCGTGAGATTGTCGGACGAAGCGAAGTGCAGAATTGACGAGCTGAAGAAGACTCCTGTCCAGGAAGGTGGACCATCTCTTATCCCTCGCAAGATTGATCTTTCATTGAAGCATATTTCTGCTTCATGCGGCGCCGGAGGGAAAGAGAAGTACGAGGAGGATTGCAGAGAGTTCTATGACGCCTTGTCAGTTGATGAGATCAAAGAAGTTTGCCGAAGAGAAAAGACCCCGTACGGCAACCGGGACGTGGCTATTAAGCAGCTGGTGATTTGGAAGTCTGCGGTGGCTTACGATCCGTCTTATCTTCCGTTGCCACCTACCCCGACGACAAGGACAAGAAGTAAACGTGGTGTCACGGAACCAAAGGAGGAAGCGGTTACACCTCCAGATAGTTCGAGTTCAGATTCTGACGAGTCAACTGAGTGAAGACAGTGAGACAGTGAAATATATTGGAAGGAAGCACGTAAGTGTTGTGAACTTCGGTTACAAAAGGATGGTAAGACAAAAGGTGATGAGAGAAGGTTGAGGGCTGCTGTTGTTGGTTTGGTCTTTTTTTGTCGGGCAATTTGAAATGGGGTGAGAAATTTGCTGGGTATTGGAGAGAAGAGTTGAGAACGGAACGTTCGATTTAGTATGTCCTACCAGTTGCGTGTATGTTCTGATATCCCCTTCGTATAAATAAGTTTATATTGGCTATATCGAGAGGGATCTTTGGTCTAGATGGAGGGAGCATTACTGTTGTGGGAAAGGGGGTGGGAAGAAGTGCAAGAGAAAACTGTATAATTGGTTGGGAAAGATTGGTGCTCATAACTACGTTGCTATTCCAGTTTTTTCTAGCTTTGATAAAAAAGAACTGGAGGCAGTGGAAGCTACCTTGATCAAAATTTGGTCCCCCGCATTGAATTCGACTGCGGGAGGGAAGGGAAATCGCGGTAAGAAAGGTAAGCGCCGACTTGGAAAAAGGGAGAGGCATCAAATGCAATTGCGCGAAGGATCGGGAACCCGGACGGAGAAGGTGGTTAGACAGGGGAAGATTATTGAGGTGAAGTCACTGGATGCTGGTTATGGAACCGTCAAACTTGTTGAGTTTTTTCGTTCGATGAACAAGAGTAAGAAGAAGAATTTCAATGTTCACGTTGAGAGTTCTGGTGGAGATGTTTGGGCAGATGGTTGGAGGTTGGTGAGGAGATTGTTTGGAGAAAGTAGAATAAAATGGGGTCGTGGGACCACACCACTTCGAAAATGTAAATGTATGTTTGAGGAAGGAGGGTTGATTACGCTGCGTCGTATCTCTGAAGCTTCTCCGTTGAATTTGAAGTTAGGGGACGACATTGTTAGTATGTTCAAGTCGCCCCGAAAGAAGAAGAAGTTGTTGAAGCTAGAGTTGGATTGTCTCTTGAAATATTATGGCGCTGTAAAAAGTACTAAAAACCTTCTCAACTAAGCGGAGTCGGTCTAAGGCTCGACATATGATTTCGAGTGCTATTAAGGCAGCTCATGGTTTGAGTGTTAGGAAGAGGATTATTACCCGTGTCAAGTTCGATGACAGGATTAAGAAACGTGAGGTCATGAGGCTGGTTAGAAGGAAGGTTGGTGAGATAGATCTGGTTAAGCCAATTAAGGAAATGGAAAAACGACGAGCACGCGTAGTGTGGACAAAATGTCTGAATGTGGGCAACATTCTACACAATCATCGACGTTACGTGTCGAGTGGCGCTTCCAGCTGTACATGTGCTGGGTTACCCTATCCTCGAATGGATGGGGACTTGCATTTCCGTATCGGTGAGGTTGAAGGTATCCCGTATATGGTTAGGAACGCGAAGAATGTGCCTAGACAACAGGAACGAGAAAGGGAGAAAAGACTGGTTGAAGAAGTTGAAGAAGGGTTTCGATGATGGAGGACAGAGTTTGGGACATAGTGTCAAGCGGTTGAGATCACACCTGACGAAGTGAAGATGTGTTTCTCGAAGCATGGTTCTGGAAACAATTTGGACTGTGGGATTGATGAAGTGCTTGATGTCAAAAGAAGTTGAATGGATTGGTGCTAGCACCCTTGGACAGAAACCCGGGTGACACACTGGTACAATGTCCTGTCTTGTATGCTAAAGAGATGATGGAGACTTTTTTTGAGAATGACAACTATCGGGTTTGTGTTGACGAGGAGGAGGTGGAACTAAGTATGGCGCAGTGTGAATATCGGAAGCTGAACTTGCAATCTGTTGGAAGATGGAATGAGAAGGGACGGATCGGGGAAGCGTATTCTCTTCCGAAGCAGAAAGATACGACGAAGTATCGACCGATCGGCCTGACCTTTGACGAGCCCTCAATTCAGGCTTGTAAGAAAGTGGCACAAGCTATCAATTGCCTGTTGTTCTCTCTTCCGGAATCCGGTCATCTGAAGCTACGGTCCATTTCTGATACGAAATCTCGAATCAGCCGGATCAATCAGAAACTGGCAAGAATGGGAAAGGATGTTCAAGTTATCGGAGCTTCGTACGACGTGAAGGATATGTTTGATAAATTGCCTCATGAATCTATCCTTCGGGCCATTGACTGGGTTGTTTGGTGGTTTCGGGATGATACCAGCACCGCTAGCATCACCTGGGTTTTGTGTTAAAAAAAAAAAAAAGGTTGAGAAATGTACCCTACCCTCGGTAGGGTAGCTTTCTTAATGGAAAATGGTTTCCCGCCCAAACGGAAAAGGCCAAAGCATACGACAAAATGGATTTCACGTCAAAGAAAAAATGTACAAAACGACCAAATCTAAAAGGTTATTCTCCTGTATTTCGGTACCCTTAGATTCTCAATACATCAACAGCAGAGCTCCGTCCCACGATGCCACACGTGGTAGAAAGCTCAGCGTTGAGAAAACTCAACTGCAGTGGTGGGACTTCACCCCTGGCGGTAAGAGTGCCGACAACGGAGAGTAATTTCACCGGACAGCCACTGGTTGGCACTCAATGGCAATCTCTGCAGGCACACGTCACCGTTAGTCGGTGAGGTGTACAGGGGACTACGCGTCACGTCTAGTCGGGACTCCATGGCACGTCTAATCGGGACTACACGTCAGGGCTGGTCGGGACTACACTTCACGGCTGGTCGGGACTAACACGCCCTCTCACCGTTTCTGCACGCCAACTCTTTGGCTCGTGGCTTCGTTCGGATTGTAGCTGTAGGGGGCGGCGAGGAAATTGACAGCCACGGAAAACATGGGATGGGGAAATGTGCAAAACGAGAGCGCGGGGAAAAGTTGCGCTATGCAGCGTTGTGCCCAGCGCAGGGAAGTCTACCGGGGATGGCAGGCCTAGGCCTGGGCCCCTATCCCTGCCCTACGGCCCAGGGCTATGATAGCGGGCGAGCTGACGTCATCTACCTCGGTAACTCCGAGGAAGACAGGACGCTACTACTCTCGCCATAGTTACTATGTCAATATACCCCTATGGAATACCAGGGGGCTGAGTAGTTTTCCACCCCCGCCCCCACCCCTCACCTCCTCAAGATGCGTGCTGAGCGAGCTGGAGATAGAGTATTGATGCGGACGCAGACTACGGGGTTATAATCCCATACGTTGACTTCACCATGCCCTGTGAAAGGAGACAAGCTCTTATGGCGCAGGTATAACTTCTTTCCTCCCTGGTGGGTGTGGGGACTGGTTAAAAATGTACTTGCTTTGCTCCTAATTTACTGGAAGCTTTTGTTCTACCACTAACATAACTAGGTTTTCTTTCTTATTCGTATTAGGGTATCTAACTGACCGTTCCTGGATGGCAGTCGGGGGACCCCCCACGACCATCTCCCCTGAAGAGAAACAACGAATCCAGGATCTAATTTCACAATGCTATCTCGATGGTATCCTCCCCCCTCGCCTAGCTCCATCGAAGGTGGAGACAGGAGAGGATTATTTGAAAGTGACGATAAACCCGAAACTTTCCAAGATTCAGGCGACATGGTTGCAAGAAAACGTGGTGACGATCCTTTTTGGCGAAGATTCTTCTTTGTTGACAACGGACGTTAAAAAAACGCTTGGTACGAATGTACGAAAATGGATGGGCCTCCTCTTCAAATTTTACTGTTTCTACGAAGAAAGGGCTCTTCCACAATGAGGGAAATAATTTAATTGCGTACGTGGCTCCCTCTAAGGAGATTGCTCAATGGATGTTACGATGTGCCCACACCCAAATTGAGCTGGATAACGTGACATACAAAGTTGAATTCAGACCGCGGATGACGAAGAATGAATTATGGGAATGGAGGGAGGTTGCTTGTCACCGCTTCTTTTGGATCCGGTGCCAGCAGGTCCCAGTGGGCGTCCTTCCCCTTCTTCCTGGGGCAGTTCGTGACGCCTATGGCTCTGAGTTGGTCAAAGAGTACTACGCTTTTAAAGACAAGCTGGAGCCGTATTTGTTGAATGTCCGGTTTGATCTGGAATCTTCGGCTAGATTACGCTACAGAAGATATCTGGTAGTAGATCTGGGTCCCCATGGGTTCGTGGAATTAGAAGTGGTCTGTGCTGAAACTCCGTGGTGCCCGGCCTGCCGGAGGCATTTCCACTTCGAAGGGGACGATGATTGCATGACCCAAAAGAAGTCCTATGCCAAAGTGGTCAAAATCCCAAGTGAGGGGAACAACGAAAAAAAAAACAACGAGGAGCGAGGAGGGAAGGAGGGGAAAGATGGGAAAGATGGAAAGGGTAAAAGAGGAAGTAAGGAGAGTGGAAAGGATGGAGAAAAGGAGAAAGAGGTGGAAAAGGAGGGGGAAAAGGAGAAAGGGGGAAAAGGGGGAGGAGGCGCACAGGGGAAAGAGAAGGATGGAGAGAACAAAGGAATGGAGAAGAATCAACTCCGGATCAATGAAAAATAGAAGGTGGAATCAACTCCGGATCGATGAAAAAGAGGTGGAATCAACTTCGGATCAATGAAAAAGAGAAGGTGCAGCGGAGGCTTGTTCATAGCTTGCTTTGACCCAGGTCCTGAAGCCCGG